ATCTCCAGTGACACCATATATAACTCATTGAAAAATATATATATATATATATATATAACTCATTGAAATGGAACAATGCATAAATACAATTGTTTCAGATGTTTTGCAAGTCACTAAATTAGCCATGCCCTTTTTTTTTGTACTTTTTTTTTTTTTTTTTTTTTGGTGGTAAGAGAATGAACATATATAACGATCAAGATACACACAAAATATGAAGGGCATATCCTAGGCTAAATGGATGAAAATATTGTACAATTCTCCAATCATTATTGTAACAAAAGTTTTGTTTTGGCATAAGCTAAGAATAATTTCGCTACAAAACAGTCTAAAAGGCAATGCAGTGATTTGGATTGAGATTTTCCATTACATCATTTTTGTGATAAAATCACATCAATGGTTATAATGCTTTTTTCTAATTTCAAATAGGAAAATGTTTTGCACCCCCAATTTTGGACCCCCAAACCAACCCCTAGTGATATGTCATAAGTCACATCACTTGGGAACCCCACTAAAACATAAAAACTAGGGCAAAATCCACTTTATTCCCCTATACCCTAGAGCACTTTGCTCTCCTATCTTTTAAAAATATATGCAAATGACTCCCATGTGATGTTCGACTAAAATGCACAATTTACACTATTAACGGAAAAGCCGATCAAAAAAAAAAAAAAGGAAAAGCCAGAAAGATGTTTATATCTTCCACATTGCAATAGTATCATTAGCTCTCTTAAAAATAAAATAAAAAATCACCACCATCAATTTATTCAATTCAATCACCGTTACCAATTTTAATGGATAAAAAATGTACATAATTTAATCTCTTTAAAAAATAAAAAGATATATACATTCATATATATATATATATACTGTACAACGAGATACAAATATATATATATATATATACTCATCATTACGAAATGGCCAATGGTATTAATGGAGAAGGAATCTGAATTAGAAAATTGTTGCATTTTGCTTTGGCCCAATGGCATGGCATTTTGCGAATTTGTGTCGTTGATGTGAATCAAGGGGCTATGCTCTGTGCAGCGAAGATGTGTGTTGCAAATCTGCAAATCAATGGAGGGATACGGGACATAGCAGTGAGAGAGGAGGGAGGCAGTGGCGTGGGAGGTGTGGAGGGAGGGTGTAGTTACAAGGGAGGTTAGGGGAGAAAGCAAGGGTGGCAGAAGAGGTCGCGGAAAAGGGCTGAAGTGGTTAGAAGGCGGTGGCAGATGGTGGTAAGAGAGGTTACACAATGGTGGGGACGGCTAAGGTTTGGTTTTTTAGACAAGTAAGAGATTAGGATTTTTGGGAAGATGGAATTAAAGGGTATATTTGTCATTTGATATTGTTATTGATTTTGATTGAATTTTTTTTCCATCTCAACTCTCAATTTCGGAGTGTGTGAAACAAATTATGTCTATTTAAACTGAAATATTGACTGTAGGGAAGTGAATTGCAAAATAACTAAAACCACAAGGGAGGTATTTGGCTATTTTTAAATGATAGGAGGCAAAGTGCTTTGAGGTTAAACCACAAGGTAAATTGGATTTTGCCCTAAAAACTATCTAATGAGTACTTGTTATGTCATTGGAGATTGGTGTTAGGATTCCAAAATTGGTGACATGTAGAATTACTTTTTGAAATGGGTTTGGCTTCTGTCCAGTCCTTAATCGGACTGGACCGTGCTGTTGGGCCCGTGGGGCCCACCACGGGTCCCGTTTTGATAATCTGAACCGTTCAATGTGTAGAACTCGTCGAGTACTATATGTGTATAAAAAATCACGTTAATCGGATATTGATAGCTATGTGATCAAATCAGTTTTGTATTAAAAAAAATGGAGGGTGAATAAATTAACGGTTGACAAAAATCTGTTTTGATCACATAGCTATCGATATCCAATCAACGTGATTTTTTACAGACATATAGTACTCGACGAGTTCTACACATTGAACGGTTTAGATTATCAAAACGGGATCCGTGGTGGGCCTCCACGGGCCCAACAGTACGGTCCAATCCGATTAAGGACTGGACAGAAGCCATTTCCTTTTGAAATAACCATAAATTCACATGACTATTTTACAGCCATTGAATGGTTACAACCAATGTTTTAAAAGGCTAAAGGTGCATTGAGGCGATAAGGTTTTCTACCGCCTAAGCGCGAGGCGCGAGGGGAGGCGCGCGCCTCACCAAAGCGAGACGCACGTAGTAGAAGAAAAACAAAATTATAAAATAGGTAAACTTTTTAACATAAAAAATATATGTAATATATTAAAAATATAATATCCAACAAAAGATATAAAGTATCACATTCACATTCACCAAAAACCTTAAGTGCTAAGATCACATAAAATCCATTATCATTCAATGTTGATTTTATACTTTTTTTTTACAAGAAAAAAAAAAGAGAGAGAGATAAAATAGGAGATAAGAACAGAGGAGAACATAGAGAGATAGAGACGAAGAACAGAGGAGAAAAAAAAAACAGAAAGCAGGAGAAGAAGACCAGAGAAGACTAGAGAATAAAAGGAGAAAAAAAAACAGAGAAGAAGAAGACTAGAGAAGAAGAATAAAGGAGAAAAAAAAAATAGAGGCAGAAAAAATGAAGAAAAAAAACAAAGGGAAAAAGATCAAAAAAGGAAGAGAAGAGAAGAAGACCAGAAAAATAAAGCAAAAAAAACTGAGGCGAAGAAGAACCAGAGAATGGCCAAAGAAGAAAAGCAAAGAAGAGAGAGAATAGAAGAAGAGGAGAACCAGAGAAGAAGAGAAGTGAAGAAAATCAGAGAAGAACCTGTGTGGCATGTGTTGAAAGCCATCGTCTTCTCTTCTTGTCATGTCTTCTTCTTCTTCACCACCCACTAGGGTTTTTTTGATTATTTTTGCTCTTTTGTGCCACGTTTTGATCATTTTATAATGTAAGAGAGATTTTATTCCATGTGGGTATCCACATAAAAAACCACATTAGTTGTTGGAGTGGAAGACAAGTGAAGCACAGAAGGCGCATGCCCTGAGCCTTAGAATAAAGCCCTACGCCTCGTCTCGCCTTGTCTTAAGCTTAGGCGGGATTTTTCAAAACACTAGTTGCAACTATATAATAGGAAAGAGTTTGGATCCTCTGTAGTGCTTTCCTACCGTGCACCCTGTAGTGTTCTAAAACGACATCGTTTTAGAACAAAAATTCCAACAACAAAAAGAAAACAAACAAACAAACAAAAAACATACAGAACCTAATAGAAAAGAAGAAGGAAGGAAGAGAGAAGAATAAAGAGCGAGAACACAAGCGACCACTCTTAGGTGACTCTCACCAGTCTGAACACTAGCCCCTTTGATTTCAAAGGCTTCAATAGTAGTGTCGACGGCGATGGTACCGTGATAGTTTTTCAACAAGGTAGGAAGGCAGAGAATTTCAATGAAAACCCTAGATCTAGGGTTTTCGATCGCAAGAACCTTAGATCTAGGGTTTGGAGGCAATGGTGCAAGGGGTTCAACTGGTGGTGGTTATTGTTGGTTTTGTAAGAAAAAAGGAAAGAGGAAAAAGAAGAATAAATAAGAAAGAAGAGAGGCTCTTGTTCCAAATTTTTGTGGCTAAATGAAGTCTACTGATTAGAAGGAAAACTTGTAGCTATGGAAGATTAACAAAGAAATTTCAATTTCCGGAGCCTAGAAACATTGAACGCTGTATAGCAGTGTTTGTTTATGTGGAAAAAGCATGTTGAAGATCAATTTTGTGATTAGAATTCCAATTTGATGTAATCTATTTATTACATATCTATAGATGTTTGTTTGATGATTTTTTTAGTGCGTGAACCTTTAAATCTCCCCAATAGTTCAAACTATTATATCTGGTGAGATAGGAGATAGATGAGAAAATAATTCATATTTGCCAAAAATGAAGGTTGTTGGAAGAAGAATGGGTTGCCAGTGATGCTCTATTCTATCCTCTTCCTTCTCTCTCAGTCTCATAGCTTTTGTTTTGTTTTTTTTTTAAATTTTGCCTCAAAACGACGTTATTTTGGAACACTACAGAAAGCACTGCAGAGGATACAGACTCAATAGGAAGAATATGTATTACTTCCAAATTTTCCCAAATTAATGCATTCGTGGGTAGCCTAGAACTCAAAAATTCAATCAATCTCAATTACGCATCACCGTGTCAATTCATAACAAAAAAAGATCAAAGTTTCGTAATTCAATTTACTTGCTACATTTTTAGACCTAGCTAGCAACTAATGAAGACTGCTATGTTGTGTCTATGAAGATGTGAGAAACTGTGATTTAAATTAACGAAAAAAGACAGAAATAATGATATATGCACACAAAAGATCTATATATATATAATATCGTTTAAATTTATCAAAGTTTATTTTTTTTGCACATTATTATATGATTTTTTCTATGCATGTAAGCATTAAGAATGAGTTTCAAAACTTTTCTTTACCTAGAAAGTGAAATTGCAGAAGCACCAATTTAAAACAAAAACAAAAACAAAAAAAAGGCAATTTGCACACTGAAGAAAACATTATTGAAACTTTCGCTCAAGTGCAAAAAAATATGAAATGATTTCCAAACACTTAAAACCATTCTTTGATCCCACCCTACTCATTCGACAAGCTTAAAACCCTAACACTCAATTCTGCAAGAAACAGAAACTATACGTAGTAGCCATCAATAATAGAACATATAAAAAAAGGAAAGCATGAAACATCTTACCTTCAGATCTCTCCCTTTAAAGCCTTTCTATAAGGCAATTAATACAGTAAACAACAGACTTCATGAATTGCATGTTCATGAATATGTTCACTATAACACTCCTTCAAGCTCTGGTCTGGTGCAATTCGTTCTTTCCAGTTTCTCCATGAATCAAGTGCAATTGCAGTTGATTCTAGTAGATCAATTGTCTCGGATTCAAACCATTAACAACCCAAGAAGCCTTTAAAACTCGCATGCAAGCTAAAATAGTTGCTGAATATATAAACCCTCTTGTAATTTTATCATCAACCCATCAAAAATCAAAGAAAGGATCACCATAGTCCCATATACCAGACGTCGGGTACTCATCGTAGCTTGTAGCCGGCCACATCGCAGCAGATCCAATCCCCACCGATGCCGGCGGATCTGACACCACCGGTGCAACCACAGGCTGAGAAGACAGAGAAAAGCTCGACCCAACCGAACCCACAAGCGAGTTCATTTCATCGTACCAATAAACTTGCTGATCCTGGTGCTGCTGCTGATGCTGCTGATCATGATGATAATTATGATGATGATGATCATTAGGGTTCGGATAAGTAGACGATGATGAAGCGGCGGTGGCGGTGGGTTCAACAACCTTAAAACTGAAATCGTACGGGCCGTACGGTTGAGGTAGTTGATGTGGATTCTGTAGGGTATTATTAGGGTACTGTACGGAGGAGTAGACGCCGTAGGGTAGGTAGGTGGCGGCGGTTGACGGCGGAGATGGGAGAATGGAAGAAGAGGGATAAGTGAGGCCGAAGCCGGAGGGACGAGGGAGCAAGGGGCGGAGGGTTTGGGTGGAAGACGAAGAGCCAACGCGAGTGGAGGAGGATTGGGAAGATGAACCACCAGCGTCGGAGGGTTGGAGATTGAGTTGGGCCTTAGAACCGTAGAGCATAATGGCAGCACGATCGTAGGCACGAGCAGCGTCCTCGGCGGTAGCGAAGGTGCCGAGCCAGCGGCGAGTCCGCTTTCTGGGCTCTCTGATCTCGGCAACCCATTTGCCCCAACTCCGTTGCCTCACTCCTCTGTACTTGAACTTATTGTTGTCAGGACCTCCTTTGCCTTTGTATTTTCTACTATTGCTATTACTATTACTGTTGGTGGTGGTGGTGGTGGTGTTTTCACTGGTGGTGGTGGTGGTGGTGGAAGAAGAAATGGGATCAGTGATATTGTTGGTGGTGGTGGTGTCTTGGGTAGGGTGATAATGGTCTGCATCTGCACTGGCCATAGATAGCCTCTGATGTTTTTTTTTTTTTTTTTTTTTTTTTTTTTTTTTTTTTTAAATTTTTTTTTGGGTTTTTTTAATTTTAAGAAATGAATGAAAACAGTGTGTGAAAAAGATGGAGACCACCTCGTGGAGTGTTAGTGGATTAGTAGAAAGAGAGGGACTCTGAAGGTTGATTTGAATCTCATTTCTGTAAATGGTGGATGAGGGCGGTGGTCTTCTAGATATATATGCTTTATATGTCTCTATACATTTATTCGAGAGAGAGGGCGATTGCTGCTCTGTGAAGAAACAGACCTAAACTTTTCTCTACCTGCTTATTCAAACTGGAATTAGGGCTTTTGATATTTTACTAGCTCTTCCCTATTAATTCACATCTTTTATCATTTCCATTGGAATGTATTTTTAGCATGTGGAACTATTTTGACAACAATAAAAATTAAGTAATTATAGAGATTTTAAAAGTTCTATTAAAATTTTTACCAAATGCCTTACATAAATGTGAAATTCATATGAGATTTACATGGTGTAGGTTTTACACACACATGAGACATTTGGTAAAAATTTTAATAAAATTTTTAGAATTCCTAATATTTCTCATAAAAGTTAACATAAAATTCATTTTATCCGTGTTAGTTTTATGTCTAACTAGGGGTGTTCGCGGATCGGTTTTGTGCAGTTTGCGGTTCGGCTTTGACCCGCCCGCATCTATGCGGTTTGGAAAAAAGTCAACCCGCAACCGCCCGCAGTGCGGTTTGCAGTTTGTGCGGATAGGGTTTGCAAATGTGCGGGCGGTTGCGGGCGGTTGCGGGCGGTTTACACTTTTTTCTTTAAAAATTAATTTTTGAGTTTTTTTTTCCAGCGAATTTAGGCATCAGATTCTTTTTATATATTTGTGATAACAATTTTTTGATGAGTTTACAAATAAAAATTGAATATCAATGCATTAAATTAAAGTACCAAAAACAAAGAGACCCTACACTAGCATTTTTGCTATGAAAAAAATGTATATCAATGCATTAAAGGTTGTACTCAATTAGAATTGCCAGTTCAGTAATCAATAATCAAACTATAAGTTCTATCGACCATTAGAAGAAAAATTTTATTAGGAAAAAGTGGATGAATCACCAATGAAAATCATATAAGAAACCAAGTTTAGGACTTGATAATTCTACGGCATTAAGAAAGTTGAGAAATACTTAAAAATAAGGATCCTAGTGTCATAGAGAATATAATGGTGCTCCTGTAAAAGTTACAAAGTTGGTATATAAAAAAAAAAAAATAATAATAATAATTAAAGTGCGGGCGGTTTTTGCGGGTTGCGGGTTTAAACCGCGACCCGCCCGTGTCACGACCCAAACCCGGCCCTATGGGTTTAGCACCGTAACCGGCCAGTAATCCGAGATTACCAAAGGCCTGCAGAACAGTAACACAGTAAAACAGAGTACAGGGCCTGGCGGAAGCCAATACAGTAATTAAACAATGTCCAATGAGCTGTGACAGTCGGTATGCCAAAAAGATTTTTCATGCATTCATACATATACAAACAGTACAGTGAAGCTGATTGTGCCCAATTGGTATCCATTAAAAGGGTTCTCAGATGCTTTGAAGTATTATCTGGCCTCAAAATTAATTATCATAAGAGTGTCGTCTGTGGTGTTGGTGTAGATGAAGGCTGTTTAAACACCTATGCTTCTATTCTCAATTGCAAAGTGCAGAGTCTTCCACTAAAATTTCTGGGGCTGCCTCTAGGAGCAAATCCTGGAAGGAAATCTACTTGGAGGCCTGTAATTGAAAAAATCAAGGCTAGACTGTCAGGATGGAAGAGAAAACTGTTGTCCTTTGCTGGTAGATTAACCTTAATCAAGTCCACTCTGTCTAGCTTACCGATTTACTTCCTTTCCATGTTTAAAATGCCTGAAGGAGTGGCTAAGGAAATAGAAAGGATAGAGGCAGCCTTCTTATGGGGTAGTAGTGATCTTAAAAGGAAAGTGCATTTACTGAAATGGGAGGAGGTTACAAAGAGAATTGATCAAGGGGGACTTGGCATTAGAAGGGTCAGAGATGTTAATGTTTGTCTCCTTCTCAAATGGTGGTGGAAGTTTGGCACTCACACCAATGCTCTCTGGAGGTCAATTGTGTGCAGCAAATATAAAATTAACAACTCCTGTTGGCTCCCTCCTTTAAGTCTCTCATACAAGCACTCTAGAGTCTGGAGGGACATCATCACAGTAGAGGCTCTCAATAGGCCTATCTTTAATTTCTTCGTGAGCCAATGTGGTTTCAAGGTTGGGAATGGCACTAGAATCAGATTTTGGTTTGATAGTTGGTGTGGTGGCCTCTGTTTGAAGTTTTCTTTTCCCCCCCTCTTCAATCTGTCAAATGATAAGGAAGGTTCCCTCAATCATTATTATGCAAGGAGGTCAAGCCCATATGTTTGGAATCTCCCTCATAGAAGAGAGTTATTCTCATGGGAATTGGCTGAAGAGGTGAGATTGAATGCTCTCTTATCCTCTGCGCCATCTCTGTGTTTGGATAGTGAAGACTGCTTAGTATGGTGTATAGATTCTGGTCAGAGCTTTTCTGCTTCTGCTCTCTATTCTCACCACTCATCTCTCTTTGGCCCCCATCTCAAGGTTAGCAAATTTGTTTGGAACTCACTATTGCCCCCCAGCGTATCTTTCTTCACCTGGCTAGCCTGGAAATCTAGAATCAAATGTTCTGACTTTCTGCTCAAGATTGGTTCTCTGGACAGCAATGCTTCTCCCCTCTGCCATTTTTGCAACTCTGAAGTAGAAACTGCTCCCCATGTACTGCTTCATTGCCCTTTCTCCTGGTCAATCTGGTCAGCGATTATTGAGGATTGGGGCCTACATTGGTGTATTCCTAAGTCTGTAGATGGCCTGCTTTATTGGTGGATGAGCTGGAAATTCTATAATTTTGACAAACTAATATGGAGAGCAACCCCCTTAATCGTACTATGGTCTATTTGGAAACTCAGAAATGACTGTGTATTTTCTAATGCACAACCCTCTGCTACAGGCATGCTAGATCTCATAAAATTCAGATCTGCCATTTGGCTCAAAGCTTCCATGAAAGAATTCCCATACTCAGTGCATGATCTCGTCTGCAATTGGAGACAGATTAGGGGCGGAATTTAGTGCTCCAATTTCAGTTTAGACATTTTTGCTGTCTGCTGTCTGTTGTTCTGGTTTGTGGTGCATCAGTGCTGGTTTGGTTTGCTGTCTGTTTGTTGCTCTGCCTTCTATTTTTGTGCTATTTTGTTCTGGTTTGCTCTGCTGTCTGCTTGTTGTTATGGTTTGTGGTGCATCAGTGCTGTTCTGGTTTGTTGTGCATCAGTGCTGGTCTGTCGAAGTACATCACTGCCTGTTGTTCTACTTTGGTTAGGGACTGCTTCTACTGTAAGTTTGATCTGCTCTGCCCAGTGCAATGTATAACTTCGGTGGATTGGATGAATTGGTGATAGTCAGTGGTTCTGTTCCTCACGGTAAGTTTGATCTGCTGGGGTGAATTGGTGAGGTCAGTGGTTCTGTTCCTTACGGTTAAGATGCTGAATGGTTGTGTTATTCTCAATGGTTGTGTTATTCGGTTATTCTGATGTCAGTAGTCAGTGTATATAGAGATGATGAAATTTTTGTGTTTTAGATCTATTATGATTTGGGGTTTGCTTGTTGAATTTTATACTCTCAATTAGTTTCCATGAATGTTTTACATGTTTAAAAAAAAAAAAAATGGTCAATTTGATGGTTGATTTGGAGATTTAGATTTTTGGGTTAATCTAGGGTTTGAATGTGATGTAAAAATTGGGGATTTTGGTGTTAGGGAATTTATATGTTGAAATTGAGTTGATAAATGGTGGATTGGGTATCTCTATGTTCTATGGAGGAATTTTATAAGTGATTGAAGAGATTTTACTTAAGTTGTTGAGTTTATACAAAAATGTTGATTTTTGACTTTTGTAGTAAATTGATGGTGGTATTGTGCATATAAATTGATTGGATATTAATCAACAGAATTTGACTCACTAGAATGAATGCAGTTAGTATGATGCGCCGAGCCCGGTGCGTGCAAGACAGATGAATGAATGCAAACATACTATCATACTGTATGCTAATTTAAACATGCCCTAATCTAACCATCATAAGTAGGTAAATAAAAGGGAAGAAAGACGTGGGGTTGGAAGACATACATCACACGCACGGACACTTATTACAATTACGCCCTCGCGCAAAGGGTCCGAATAAATAGTACAGTCCAAATAATACAGTCCAAATATATACAAATTCCTAATTAATTTACAAATTAACTAAGAAAAATAATAAATTGGCATGCAAGCCAGGGACTACCTTGACTCTTCTTCAGATGATGGATGATGCATGTCCGGGTCGCCTTTGCGCGAAAATCCACTGTGATGCCCCAATTAGCCTCTGTTTTGCAATGGTTCTTGGAAAGCGCGCTAAGCCTCGGAAGATCGTTGATTCTTGATTTGCTGCAACAGAGAGCAGGAGAGGGACATAGAATGTATTTTCACAAATGTATGCATGCCTCGATCCTCGTGCCACCAATCACGCATATCGATGCATGATGGCCGAGGTGTTGATTTGCATTATTCAATATAGAATGAATGCACATGAAAACTCAACTAAAACCTAACTCCATCATGGATAATCTGGAGTGTCGGTGACTGGGGAATTGAGACACGTTCCGTCACTCGGAGTACGAAACGTACCTCGTTTCTCGTGTTCAGACTAACTCCTATCTCAAAGACAATGCAATATGCATGACATGCATGGATCCAACTAAGATACAACCTAACATACACAATGCTATGAATGGCATACACGATGTACGGGATAACATGGCATACACAATGCGCTAACATAATGCTATGAAATGAAATGGCATACACAATGCATAATGGACTTACACCAACATGAGTGGACCTCAGCCACACTCATATAAGAGGCCATGAGATGAAAATG